GATTTACATGGAGCCACAACAAACCTTGAATAGCCAAAACTCTCCTGTCTAAAATAAGAATGGAGAATGGAGGTATCACATGCCCAGACTTAAAACTACATAAAAAAAACTAAGCATAAGAACTCAAACCATAACATATAGAGAGGGGAAAAAAAAATTAAGATTTACTCATTTATGTTTACAGAACTGGCGTACAGGCCAGAGGTATGGTAGGTGAGAGGATTCACCAGAGACAGAGTGGGGAGCAGAACAGACAGATCAACTAAAATACACTGCTGAGGGGATCAGCAGGTGGGTCAGGAGAGATATGCCACACTATGTGGCCTGGCTGGGAATGGAACTCATGCTGCAGTGGCTTCTCAGAGAGCTTCATAGTGTGGTGCTTTAACACGCTGGGACACCAAGGAGAGAGGGAGAGCCCAAATGTAGAAAATATAGAATATAGGTAAAACACAAGACACATCTCTAACATATTTAAAGACTCATCCTTCAAAGCAAAGAAAGTGAAGGAAAAGATAAACAGCTGGGATTATATCAAACTAAAAAGCTTCTGTATAGCAAAAGAGAAATTAACCAAAACAAAGAGACACCTTACTGATTGATAGAAAATTTATGTACTCCATACAACTGAAAGGGGACACAAAGATTATACCAAGATATACCAGGAACTCACACAACTCAACCAAAATAAAGTAAACAACTAAGTCAAAAGAAGAGGGCCCTCCCTTGTGGAGCAGTGGGTTAAAGCACAGCACCAAGAAGCTAAAGCTACTTCAGCATGAATTTGATCCATGCCTGTCCTGGAGTTGATCCACATGTCGTGGCAGACCTCTCTTAACCCTCTCCTCAGCAGTGTTCTTCATCAGTCAGCCTGTTCTGCTCCCTACTCTGTCTCTGGTGAATCCTCTCACTGCCCCTTCACCTCTGGCCTGTACCCCAATTCTGTATGCATAAATAAATAAATCTTAAAAAAAATATATGGGCAGAAGAACTTCAAAGACATTTCTCCAAAGAGGAAATACAAATCAATGGCCAACAGCCATCTGAAAAAAAGTTCAACTTTCCTCATAATCAAAGAAATGCAAATTAAAACCAGAATGATATACAACTAAGAATGACACACATTTAAAAAACTAGCATCAACTAGTGTTGGTGAGGTTGTAATGAAAAAGAAACTCTCCTACACTGCTAGTGGGAATGCAAACTGGCCCAACCGCTATGGAAAGCTGTGAGGAGGTTCTTCAGGCTACTAAAAATGGAGCTACCTTATGACTAAGCAACCCCACTCGTATGGCTCTACCCAATGGACACAAAAACACTAATTCAAAAGGATACCCATATCCCTATGTTTACTGCAGCACTATTTACAACAGGTGAGACTTGGAACCAACCCAAATGCCTAAAAATTGATGGCTGGATCGAGATGTGGTATATACATAATGAAATACTACTCAGCAATCAAAAAAGATAAGCTCATACCACTGCAGCAACAACGATGGAGCTAGAAGGGATTATGCTCAGTGAAATAAGTCAGGAGGAAAATGAAAAATATCAGATGGTTTCCTCCTATTTCTAGGAGGAATATAAGGGGAACCAAATAAGGGATCAGGGAGGAAAAAACAATAAAAAATACAGCAGAACAAAAATAAGCACACAACTATAAATCAGAGACATTCTGCAGGGTAGGGAAGGGATAGAGGTCAAAATGAAGGTTGATGAGCACAAGGGATTATGGTGATGGTGCATGGGTGAATTGGTGGTGTAAATTCTGTGGGGACTACACCTGAGAAAAGAAAGCAAACATTGCAAAAGAAAAAAAAAATGAACTGTGATTTAAACTATATATATAAATAAATTATTTTTAAAAATGCTTTTTTCCAGCTCTTTCTGATATACTTTCATGTCTAGTACAGTATAGAATAATAGTAAACATTCTGATGAAAATAAGATTATTGGAAGGTTCTAATAAAGAATCATATAAAGTACAATAGAAAACTATATAAATAATAAAAATCTATTTGAAACAATACCAAGCAAATTAAGTACATTTCAATTTTCTGCTTTAATTAGAATCAAATATCAAAAATCAATTTCAATTCCACTTAATATTTATGTCCACTTTAACATGGAAGAAAAATTATATACCAAATAATGATTTTAAATTCAAATGAATTTTACATGGATGCTAAAGATTAGCACTACTTTTCTTCATTTATTCAACATAAATTAATAAAGTATGATAGATTTTTTTAAGATTTATTTATTTATGCATATAGAACTGAGGTACAGGCCAGAGTTGCAGAAGCAGTGAGAGGATTCACCAGAGACAAAGTAGGGAGCAGAACAGGCAGATGGATGATATACACTGCTCAGGGGAGCAGCAGACAGGTTAGGAGAAGTCTGCTACTCCAGATGGGTCACCTCCTCTCCCCAGCCAGGGATGGAACTTATGTTGAAGTGGCTATGGACAGTGCTTCATACCCTGTTTTGCCACCTGAGAGGTCCTTCATGAAATCCTGTACACATTAATGATTCTAGGGCTCACTGGTTTCCATTCTTTTAGCCTGAAATCTAATTATCACTTGTACAGCCAAAAAAAGGTCATTACGTTCAACACAAATATGTTATTCTTTGCTAGAAAACCTGCAGGAACCCCATAGTAGCTAGAGGTCAATACCACTCAAAGTGTGGCCAACAGTCAGTGCTGGTGTGAGAAACTTCAGCATCAAAGACTTGCTACCAGTCCATGATAAGTATAAAAAAATTGTATGTGTATATTTTCATAGCATTCTTAAAGAGAAATTTTACACTGGTTCAATCTAAATAAAATTGGGTCCTATACTTGAAAATTTCATGTTCATTTTATTCCACTTTTTCTATAATCCACAGAGTATTTTACATAATTCATTAATCCATGACAGAACATTTAAAATAAAAAGCTCACTCTGTCTTAGAAAAACTACACTACACTTAGAATTAAGGTCAAGTACCTCAACACAGTCTATAAAGACTATAAATTCAAATACTTAGGCAACTTGTCCAAATTGACATCTCTAGGATTCCATGTATTTTTGTAGATTTATTGTACACTTTATTTCCTATATAACTGTAGTCATAATTATGTTTTTAGACCATAACCTTTTAAGTACTGTTGATGTGATGTGATAATTTACAATTATCACTTCACCATTTTCCCAGGCTACATAGCACATGTTATCTATACGGCCTGGATATAGTGGATACTAAGCAAATGCTTGATAAGTGGAATTAAGAAGATGGTGCCTTAAACAGACTAATTACCCTCCAAAACTAATCTTTGGTCCCCTCTACTTTCCTCTTTTCCCTTCTCTTTCTACTTTCCATTCCCTGGCCTCCTAATGAAAAGAAGACTATGTTTTTGCAATGAGTACCCAGGACAGAAATGTTGAGAAGACTAAACATAATGCGTAATTTCCAAATTTTCTACTGAATTAATACAGAATGTGGGATTAACTTCAGAATTAATTAACCTTTCTTAAGGTCAACAAACTGTAGCCCACATGTCAAATCCATTCTGCTACTTGTTTTTGTTTAGTTCATAAGCTAAGAAGTTTTTACATTACTATATGTGGGTGGGTAGCAAAACAAAAGTGTAGTATTTCATGACAAATAAAAATTTTATGCAATTCTAATTTTAGTGCCCATATAAAAAGTAAAAGTATTATTGGGACAAAACCATACTCACTCATTTATGTAGTGAGTAGCTGTGGCACAGACTGTCCACAGCTCACAAAGTCCCAAATATGTACTATTTGATTGCAAGGGAAAAGTTGGACAATCCCTGACCTATATTATTCTTTGGCTGAAAAAACAAACCGTAACCCATTAAATGCTTCTATTGGGTTGTCGGAAAAATCATGATGTGTTTAACATAAAAAACAATTGTCGTGACTTTTCCGACGACCCAATATTTTACTTCTACTTGCAACTGAATGATATC